ACACTGAAAGTCCTCTGCAATGTGTGAGGTAGGGGGCAGTGGGCAGGCCGCTGGGAACGGTTGTGCAGGCTGTGCACTGCAGAACTCTAGGAGGTGTCATTTGCATCGTTGTCCAGGGGGACACATGAGCCTGGAGAAGGGAAACTGTTTTGGAGGCTTCGGTAGCATCCAGGCCCTAGGTGAACAGGAGCCCCGGAGCTAAGCCAGTGGGAATACAGAAGATGCAGAGGGAGGGATGGAAGTGAGAGAAACTAGAGGGGAGGACTGATGAGGGTTAGTGTGACAGTGAGGGATGGGTGTGTCACGGAGGAGGTTTCTGGGAGGATGAGCTTGTGATTCATCTGGGGTGGCAGGAGAAAGTGTGGGGAGGGTGCAGGTTTGCTGACAATGTCTGGGCCAGCACAGCTCCACACCCTACCTCACAGCCAAGCAGGAAGACCTCTAAGACTTCAAAACCATGTGGTATTAGAGGCAGTAAGAGGGCAGCATGGCAGAGGTAGTACTGCCACTGGCATTTTAACTCAGACATGTCCTGAAGCAGGAAAGCAAACACGCAGTGCGAAGCAGGTCAGTAGCATGCTTATATCCTTGCTGATTTCAGATACGTAAAAAAACACATTCTCTATATAATCTCTCATAGGGGGTTAAAAAAAAATGAGAGCCATCATTCTTTGAGGTCAAGACATTACAGTTGGAAAAAAAGTAATGCTTTTCACATAAAGACTGATAAGAGCAAGTCTCTCAGATGTGGGCAGGTGGGGTTTTACATGCTGTTCCTCTTACTTTCCTAAAGCCAGGCTGTCTGGTATCTCCATTCTAGAAGCAGTGGGGAGAAGCTGGGCCTCAGAGAAGAACTTTCAGTATTACTATAGTTGTGGGAAGTAAAAATCCATTTTAATACAGAATAAAATTTGAAGAAATGGCTCATGTTTAAATAAGACAGGGAGTTTGGGGAAATATCCCAGTGGCTAGAGGTTTTAGCTACCAAGGCAAAGGGGGAAATTTTAACGTCTCATGTACGTTTGACAAAAAAGGGGAAATTATAGTCAGAATTAGGAAACCATATAATTTAGGGCATGTAAACAGACCAATGGTTAGAACAAGAAAATCAAGAAACTAAAAACAATTTTAATCATATGCCAACCATCTAAGCTTTACTTAAAGTAAAATTAAAATATGAAAGCTGTTTGACAATATATGAGCACAAATTCCTCCTCCTCCAAAAAAATCCAAAAACGAAAAGCATATATAAATGCTGTTAACAATGCAAAAACTTACATCTATGAAATACATACACAGCATTTAAATGCAACGTATATTTTATACTGACCTCTGCAGTCAATGAAGGCTGTACAAATATTTTAATGTGATTGGCTTTAACAGTTTAAACTAAACCCACAGTTTTGACATGAAACCAAAAAGCCTGTAAGCTGACAGCCGCAGCTCACGTAGAATAATGAGTCCCAGGAGACTTAATTTTGTTTAAAAAAAAAATTCTGGATCACTGCTAATGTTCAGATCTGAAAGAAAGAATGAGGTAATTTTATTTCTCCATTGCAGGATCCCGTACCATGTTCTAAATCCCAGATCCTACACAGACTGTTAGACCAGGAAGGAGCCTTGGCAGTAATGACCGGACCCTCTCAATGTACAGGTGACCGCCATGAGGCAGGAGAGGTGTGAGTGACGCGGAAGTTCTCCTTGTATGAACGAGCACAGGCTTGTCGCTGCTGAACAGGAGCCCCCGTGTGGCTCTGTCAAGGTTTCTGAAGCCCTGCGACGAGCTTCTTGGTCTTTCCAGCTTCAGATATTTGCCCTCTCCATACACCATGAAGCAAACCGAATGTGGCGCCGGTGGAAGGAGCAGTGCGTTTGCCCACAGGTCTTGTGGGTGTGGGGGAATGGCCTGCTTCCCGGTGACTGGGCCACGCCTCGGGTGCTGGGTGCCTGGCGCTGAGGTACCGTGTACCTCCTTTGTTCACCCAGAGTGGCCTGAACTTTGCCTTCAGTACCAGGTTCATCCATGTCTGTGGCCCCACACTTCAGGGAACCAGAATCCACCTAGCTGTAGTGGTCCCCACTCCCACTGGTTCACAGATGGACAACATCTGCCTCTAAATCTCACAGTAACGACCAGGCTCTGTACATCACTGAGTCTCCACGAGGCCATAGGGCGAGCGGTACATCTCCCCACTGTAACCTAAGGAAACCACGTATGCTTCTGGAGAGAAAGGGTTCCTAGCTCTTGTGCGCTTTTGTTTACATATACGGACTGTAGAAGCCAAGTCTTTAGTGAAGTGCACTTTAAGTTACATCTCCTAACTTAAAAAGAGGCACCAAATAAGAAACACGTGCTGAATCTGTGGGTAGCTGACAGCCATCTATAAAAGTGCATAGATCTTACAGTCTTTCAGAGACCCTGGTTGATTGCAAATGAAGCAGAGAAAAAATTATCCTGGAACCACTTGGACTTGGCAGAGATGATTAAAAAAAAAGACTTTGGAGGTGCACCTTTGATGAGCTGCTTTGCCACAGCGAATAGTTCTAACCTCCCCTCGGGAGAAGAAAGTGAAGTCAACTTACAGCAAGATCTTACCACCTCCCCTTCACTGTTTTCCCTTTTTGAGATCAGACAGTAAACACTGTAATTCGTTACACCTTTCCTGACATCGGCGTTGGGTGTGGGTTGATTACGTAATTACACGTCTCACATTTTGCACACTTTAGGTAGTTCGTTTTAGACATTTAACCTGTAAAAGAGTAGGAGCAGGGCCTTTTGGTCTATTTTTCTTCAGATTTTCTCTACATCCTGTTTTGTGTGTGGTTAGATCAGCTGATGAGTCACGTGGTGTTTTGCTGCTTCAAAGGCCAGAAATAGAGACTCCAAGTAACCACGCAGAGGACCATCTTGAATGTTTACCAAACACGTTGCTCAAAAACATGCTTTTCTACGGTTCAAATGCTTTTTATGAAAGAGCTCTGTGAGGGCTGTGCCTGAGGCTGTGTCTCCGAAGGCAGGCGGGAGCCTGGTTTCAGGGAACCGGCTGCACACGCAACGCAGACCTCTCAATGCTTACAGATCGCCGCGTGCTACAAAGCCTTGCTCGTTGCACTTTTGGTTTTCTATATGCATAAAGGTCAGGACTTAGCACATAAAAGGTCCCTTTCCTGGACCGAGCATTGCTTTGATTGATGAAGGCTTCATCCTAAGTTAGGAGGGCAGCTCGCCTGCAAAGCAGGAAGCCAGAAACCCTGGCTGCTGGGTACATACCAGCTCATGCTGTCCTGGGCACTGGTCTGCTGAGATATTCGGAAATAGAAAGATTCTTGAATACAAGAAAATGTTTTTTAAAGTAATCATTTAATTACAACAACAGAACTACTTTCTCAGTCTTTCTCCCACTTCAGTTTGAAGATGGAAAAAAAAAATCCAGTCAGAGAGCTACTGAGTCTTTAAATGGGTATGTTTCTGGAAACTAAGGGCACAAAACAGCTGACCTCCCCCTGCCCCTTCCAGAAGATTCCCAAGTGAGGAGGAGTTAGGAGGGTCAGTGTTAACTCTTTTACATCTAGCTCTAAAGTTATCGTTGAGTAAGTTCTGGTATCTGGGAACTGCAGGAGAGACAGGAAAAGGCTGCATGTGGGGACCACTGAGCTGGGCCCTGGCTGGAGAGCACCCTGGCGTCTGGGTTGATGGACCATCTTGAGTCTGGACCTCCCTCCTTGTGGGCCTCCCGCCCACTGCGCCTGCCATGGTTATTTATTGCAAGGACTCAGGAGTGAAAAAGAAAGTGCTTTTACTACCGTAACGAAATCTCCTTAGCCATCCAGTATACCCTACAGCAAAGCCAGAAGTTTCTGTTTCTGAGTATCAGCCGTCCCAGGCAGTTTCAGAGCCAGACCACCTGGTACTGCTAAAATACAAAGCAAAACATACATACAAATCAGAGAAGATGACCTTTGGGCACAAGACCAGCCAACCTGGGCAGCGAGGGAGTGTGCCTGATGTCAACCTGTGGCCTTTGTGCCCAAAGTAAGGAATCCCAAGCAGGTGAGGGTTTCCGGCCAACGTGCAAACCTCGGCACACTCCCTGAGCCACGTGGCCGGCCGGTCCTGCCCAATCACGTCTTTCCTGGACCCAGCCCAGCCTGCTTCCTCCTGCTCAGATCTTGGTGTCTCACTGATGCCAGTGACACCGAGGTCCCGCTCATTGTGGGCAGAGCCCACGGCAGCTGCGTGGAGAATGAGAAAGCAAAGAGCGGCCTGCTTTGACACAACCAGCTGCTCTGACCTGAGCTGGCCCAGAGAAGACCTCCGGGTTGGAAAGACCTCTCTGAATGGCCCAAACTCACTTCTCAGCATCTAAATAAAAGCAGCTTCATGCCCCCGTGGTTTTAGATTCTGTGGGTCTACAAGGCACCGGTCCACACTGAGAAAGTCATGGCTGGTCTTTTCATGGTCCTTGGCCTGAGGCTTTCACAGAAATCCTGAGCGACTTGCAAGAGAAAAGGAACCTGTGTCGGGGGAAAGTTTCTTTGGTCGATGAAGTCCAAGGGGTGCCCCCCCATCACCCTGAAAAGTGGGAAGGAGAAGGGCCCCCCTCCCCAGCCTGTGCTGAAGAACCTGCTGGCGGTGGGGTTTGCTTTAGAAGTTAAGGTGTGTGCTTGTCAGGCTGACGGGTTTTAGCAGCGCAAGCCAACGAAGGAACTGTGTCAGGGGAGCGTGTACTTCAGGAAGAAAGGTCTTGGACATGGGCGTCCTGCAGAGTCACAGCTCCATCGTGGTGGTCTGGGTCTGGGCTTGCGGCCCGTGTTTTCCCAAACTAGCAAAATACCATGGCCCACGAATCTTTACCCTGAAAGTGCCTCTGACGTCAGAATGCCCTCTTCTAGTTGCATAATGCGCCTGGGGGGGTCTTTCCTCGATTTTGAGGGAAGGAATTTGCTTTTTCAGTTTGCTCTTTAAGCTCCAACTCCACAAGCATGAAATACTAATCACACATGTTAAAAATACTGCTGTTTAATTTTCTAGTCATGTACTTTAAAAAAGCTGATACAATTAGATGTTTTCCCCATCCTCTCAGATCTGCCCCTGAAACACCCCAAAGTTATGCATCTTAATTTTCTGCATATATATATGACAAACTGCTCACAGGAAGCACATGGGGATTTGTCCAGACATGTAAATGGACCCTGTGATGTTCATGGCTGACTCTAAGCCCTTACATTCTTTTTTTTCTATGAGGGATGATAATGATTACACAGCACTGAAAGCAATAAACGCAAAAGGCTTGACTTTTTCCTTCTTTTTGCTCTTCTAGCATGTATATCCATTCCCACGATAGTCTACACCACCTGACCCATTTAAACCCCTGTTACTCATAGTGAAAAATAGTTCTCTTGTCATTTACTGACCCTTACATTTATATACAAATGACAGACTGTAAAACTGCTACAAACAAGATACAACATCCATGGATACAATACGTTTTCAACTGCAGGTACCTTGAGCACACGAGCAATCACCGTATTGTATTAGAGACATTTTATTGAAAATGCGAAAATAGGAAATGTATTATAGCCTAAAATAAATTACATAACATATACAGTATATATTTATATCTTTAAAATATTTTTTTTGTGGTTAGGTTCTTTCAGTCTAGGAATTTTGACTAAATCAAGAATTTAGTGAACTGTGTCCAAAATTTTTTAAAGAAAAAAACCCGCTTTCCAAAACTTAGAAAAATAGACTGCACTAAATGGATTTCAAATGTATCGTTTCAGGGAGTATCACATAGTGACTTTGCTATGGTTTATAAAATGTCTTGCTTTCTCGTGTGGCGTAAAAGGGGAATACAGTACACTCGGAATTACCTGTACCGCATGGTGAGGACTAAGAATGGCAGGACCAGGTCATAAATCTACTTCCCAAGTGACGATTCGGCAACCTGGCATTAGAATGCTAGATTATGACTTAAAGCTTCAGTTCCCTTTAAAAACTAACATGTACAAGTTAGACGGCTCCGTTTCACTTGCTCTAGTGCCATCTTCAGGAAAGGTGAGTGAAAAGCAAGCCTTCTGGGAAAGTCATGCCCAAGGACGCTGCGATGGGGAGATGCACTTTTGTGACACCTTGAACAAGGCAGCTCACGTATGTACATGGTGGTGCGGGAAAGTGCGCGCACACTCGAATCTAGGAAAAATGTGAGGTGAGACGCTATCGTTTGCATGTATCAGTTCGCTGCTCCCACGGCACCTCAAACCTTCCCATGGGAGATGATTTCCATCTGTCCGTCCGTCCAGCGTGTTCACGGATCCATTCCTGAGCAGGAATGGCCACTCTGGGCTGCAGCCTGGTGCTGCCCTCCGCACGCGTGTCGCAGACGGTTTGTGCCTCCACGGTGGGAGGTTGCTGGCTTACATCTCTTCGCACAGCCATGTTACTGGGAAGCCAATCAAAGAAAGCCGAGTTGTCACCTGTTGATTCTTAAGAGGGATGCAAGGGACAGGGTGAGTCTGTGGCCTGCTGGGCAGTGGTGGCCAAGGGGTGTGCCGTGGTCCTTTGGTTCCAAGTGGAGACTGTCTGGGGGAGGGGAGACAACGTAGACTACCAGGCAGCTATGTCTTTGGGGTTTTCACGAAGCGGGGGCATGAAGTCAATTGTTCTGTTTCCACAAAGCAGTGACAAGCCCATTCTGCAGGCCCCCACATCAGCGTGAGCATACCCAGTATGCCAGCGTGTCCGTGAAACCTTTGAATCAAGGCCTCTTGCGTTACCAAAACAAACCGGAAAAAACACGACAGGAGAGCAGATGACGCCGAAGTGTCACCTTAGCTGTCCCTGCGGCGCCTCATTCATTCTCCTCCCTCATCTCCACGATGTCTGTCCCTTCCTCTGCTGGAGGTATGTCCGTCATCGCCGAGTCCTCCCCCTCGGCGGCTGACTCGGTCTCCATCTTCTTTTTCTAGACCAGAGAAGACTCATCGGCATGGGGCTGGGACAGGGGCACATACAGCAGAGCCAAGAGCAGGGAGAGGCCGCAGGGTCTCAGGGGACCCCTCGTTTATGGTTGGGGTGACCTTGCTGATGCTGCATCTCAGTCAGCTCTTCCTTTCTGTGGGGTTACCTGGCTGTCGGCCATGCTTGCACTGGGAGAGGCACTCGGGGCGTCAGCTGATGGAGGCCTACCTCTGCCCAACCACGGCACTTCCCTGCAGCGCCTCCCGATGGTGGCTGTGCCCTCCCCTCCCCTCCTCCCCCTGGCCAGGTGCAGACATGACTCCTTACACCTGGGGCAGGTGTGCGGTTTTGTCCCCGTATCTCACCTGTTTCCGGTAGACGTAGCACGCTGCTATGGCGACCATAGTGGATTCTCCCACAAACCCCGCGAGGAGGGAGCCCACACCCAGGGTGGCTCCATGGACCCTGGGGATGAGAACACAGGGGACATTCGTCTGTTAAAGCCGGGCTGAGGCATAGTCAAGTCAAAACGCAGCTGAAACTCAGGAAAGGGGCGGACAACAGGGGGACGGGACGATTGCATTAGAGATCTGATGGTGAGGGCTGCACCTGAGAAATGGTCCACCTGCGTGTGGGGGGGCCTGGAACTCCGAGCCCAGCCAACTCCCACCCCAGCTCCAGGCCTCAGCTCAGCACTGCTGGGGGGCAGGAGAGGGGGGCTTGTCCCCCGGCTCGTGGGCCCAAAGCATCTCGCTCCTCCTCTCCATATAGTGAGGTTTTCCTAGTTGTGGGGCTGACTATGCCCCTTCCCTAGGAGACCGGAGCCCCTGAGGACAAAGGTGACACCTTTGCTCCCTTGCGTTTGTCCCTTCCGATTCTGCCACACCGTGGTAGATGCTCAGTGAACACTGTGTGGCAGCCGGACGAGAAAGTATTCTAGAATGGATCTCAGCAGCCTCCCCCTGGTGCTCTGGCAGAGAAGCAAGGCATCACTCTGCATTTCTAAGTTGGGGACATGCTTGGGGAGTTCAGGGGAAAAAGCAGATTTAACTTCTGGACAGAACTCGGACGCAGCAGCAGGAGCACAGCCCCAGCCCCCAGCGATGTACCCCAGCCCCCCCCGGCGATGTACCCCAGCCCCCGATGATGTACCCCAGCCCCTGGCGACATACCCCAGCCCCCCGGTGATGCACCCCAGCCCCCCCGGCGATGTACCCCAGCCCCCCGGCGATGTACCCCAGCCCCCCAGTGATGTACCCC